TAAAATTAAATTAATTAATTAATTAATTAAAAAAATGGTCATTCTAGACATAGTTTAGTTTCAGGCTCATTTAATTTTGAATTTTATTTTCTAATAATATATACCCTGATATATCCTAATATATTAAAAGCAAAACTAACTGGGGAGTGGTGGCTCCCGCCTTTAATCCCAGCCTTTGGGAAGCAGAGTTAGGCAGATTTCTGTGAGTTTGAGACAAGCCTGGTCCACAAATCCAGTTCCAGGACAGCCAGGGGAACACATAGAAACCCTGTCTGGAAAAACAAAAATATCAAACAACAATAACAAAACAAAACAATACAAAGAAAAACTATTGCAAAGAAATGTTTATTCAGTCATAAAACATACAACAAAAAGGCCAAAGTAATTTTCTTATTGCATTGGAAGTATGTATTTTTTTATTTTTAAGATTTCTTTTTATTTATTTATTTTTTGTGTGTTTTACATCATGCATCTAGATCCCATTCATTTCCTGGCCCTGCATATCTGCTCTCTGTAGCCCTCTACTTCCCCCACCCCCCAACCCCTGCCAGATAAAGATTAAGAGAAAAAAGAAAAGAAATAAAAGCGAAAAAAAAAAAATCTCGCCATCGAAGCTGTAGTGTGACACGATGAGTCACACAGTTAAACCCTTTTGTCCCTATATCTTTACTTTCAAGTAAGTGTTCATTGTAAAGAGTCATTGGTCTTCCAAGGCCTCTGGTTTCTGCTACACTATCAGTGCTGGGACTCCTTTTGGTTATGCTGCTGTTGCCCTGTGTTGTGGAGATCCTGTGGCTTTGGGTCCGTAGGACGGGTCTTTTCATCTGCTCCAGCAGTTCACAGATGGGATGGATACTGGAGTGGACCAATGCATAACCCTGGTTCTGGGCCTCGGTAGTTGCAGGGTTGGTCAGTACACGAGCTCTCCCTTGTCCTCACCACCAGGGTGCGCTCTCCTGCATTGCCTTGGTGAGTTCACCCTTTGTAGCACAGGGACTAGACCAGCCCTCCCGCTTTCATGTCCTCAGGGTCAGATCTCCCACATCTACACCTTCAGGGCCAACTCTACTGTCTTGCCCCGGCGTGGTGTAGGGGACACTCTCCCTAGTGCTGTAGCAGATTTACTTTTGTTTTCTAAAATTGAAATTTAATAAATATCAATTAAATCTGTAGAGTTACAGTTAACTGTCCTAATTCTGTATTTTCTGTATACTGCCTGTTTAGCATTCATCAATTTATTTATATTCTCCGAGCTTTAATTAACACCATAACTGTAAGCCAGCAAAATGGCTCATTGGTAAAGGTGTTTGAGAGGACGTATAACCACCTGAGTTAAACCCCCCAGAATCCACATGGTTCAATGAGGTAACTGACTTCTAAAAGTTGTCCTCTGACCCTGCAAACTCACAGTAATTTCTGTAAAAATAATTAAAGGATGGTAAAGTGTAGTTCACAGGTTAAAGCTCCATATTTCATCCATGAGAACGACAGCTGAAGTTCATTGAGAACACATGGGATGTCTCAAGTATTTAATGTGTGGTACCTAGTGTACTGGATGGTTTTGTGTGTCCACTTGACACAAGCTAGAGTCATCAGAGAGAAAGGAACCTCAGTTTAGGAGGCCCCATGCCTCCATGAGATCCAGCTGTGAGGCATTTTCTCAATTAGTCAGCAATGGGGGAGAGCCAGGGCATGGTGGGTGGTGGTGGTGGTGCCTTCCATGGGCTGGTGATCCTGTGAGTTCTATAAGAAAGCAGGATGAGTAAGCCAGGGGAAGCAAGTCAGTAAAGCAGCACTCCTCCATGGCCTCTGCATCAGCTCCCGCCTCCAGGATCCAGCTCTGTTTAAGTTCCTGTTCTGATTTCCTTCAATATGAACAGAAATATGGGAGTATACACCAAATAAACCCTTTCTCACCAACTTGCTTTTTGGTCATGGTATTTGATCACAGCAATAGAAACCCTAATTAAGATACTTAGTACAATCACATCACTCATGTCTTTTCATGTTCTCCTCACAAAATTGTGTTGTTCTTCTCATAGTCACATAAACCCATTTAGAGTTTGGCATAGATTAATATATACTGAAGACACAATGGATTAGTAAAAGGTCTTGCTTGAGAATGAAATGTTTTGATATGAGTATTATTACATTATTCAGTCAAACATCTTCTCTGGCACAATGGTACTTTCTGACACACCTGCCATCCTTTTCAATGGTAATTGATGGTGGACAGGGTTCAGGAAAAATAAGTACAGTGTTAAAGCTTTAAAAAAGTTTTAAAGAGGCCACTATTTAAGTGAAGGTGCTCTGAAGGGACTTTGATCAATATAGGTGCAGAGTGCTCTAACTGCGTGGACAAGCACACACCAGAGCCATGAAATGTAACCGGGTATCACTTGTAAGTGCCCTGTTACAGCCTAGCTGGGACGCTCTGTGAAGAAATTAGCAGTTGTATTTCCTGTTTGCTATTTATGGGCCGGGTGCATTAATTTCGATTTAAGGAGCCTCATTTCTGCTGGAGTCCGCCACTGCCTGTCTATAATTGGATAATGGGCTTCCTGCTTAAGAGTAGCAAGAGTTGCTTCCTTCTCCTGAAGTGAATCGATCAAGTTTTTTTACCTTCAGCTCTCACCCTCCACCAGTTGAGGGAGCACCAGACCTCTTCACGGGAGGCTGGACCTCTCCCTAGGAATCTGTGCCTTCTCCCAGTAAGAGCACAGCCCAGGGCACAGCAATTCAGTCCTCTCTTTGAGTTTTCCTCTTCACCAAGAAGTTTCACCAACGAGTTAAGTCTATGAATGAGACAAATCAAAACGGAAAGTTTATTTGGTGTGTACAAGGCAAATAAATCCCCTGTTGTGTATGTTTGGGACATTTTGTTATATGAATTTGAGAGTTTTCTCAAATACACGTGAATACAGCAATGCAAGAAGAGCCCCCCTCCCTCCCACACACCCACCCTACACACACCAAGGGGATGCCATATGTCCCAGTTGAGACCTACATGGAGAAGACATGCTGAATATGTCACACAGTATTATTGTGAGAGGACAGTCATCAGTTTCCTCTCTGGCAATGAGAATTTTCTCACCCTCAAGACATGCAAATGACTTTTTTCATCTGTTCTTTTTATGTTATTTGCATAATTTTCTCCTGCAAAAGTGAGAGCTGTCAGAAATTAACCATTTGGGGCTTCAACATTCAGTTCTGTGACCTTTCCCAGAGCATTACATCTCTCTGGGGATCAGGGAACTTTGGATGTGAGAGAGTAGAGGATACTGAGAAGTGAGCAAAAGGGTGGATGATGGATGAGGAGCAGCAGGTAGGTAGAGATACCCCACTACATTTAAACAGTCACTGGGTATTTATTCCCTTGGATACAAGTACCATTGTTGCTATTTCTTTCCTTCCATCAGCATTTACAGATAATAGGGAAGATGTCTCTGTTAGGTGCCATAGACTCTTCTGTTGTTACTCTGGATAACCACATAAACCTTTTTGTTTTTTTTGTTTTGTTTTGTTTTTTTTTTTTTTGAAATGTGATGTTAATATAAAAATGCTTTTCGAAAGAGTGCAGGGGCAGCACTCTGTTTTGCATGCTTTGGTTTGTGTGCTCGTGTCTTACAAAACTGCCAGATATGCTTATTTAGTATGAATACTACCTTTTTACAAGTCAGAGAGTTGCCCTCTGGAGGGCTGTAATAAACCTTTAAAGTCATTTTAGTTAGACAAAGGTTGATATATGTAGCAGGCTAGGGGCAAAGGCAAATCCAGCTATCTCTTTTATCACATTGCTTTAAACATGTTTCAGCTTTAGGCTTGGCTTACAAATCAGCCCGATCAGTCCAGTAATTGTCTCACTGCGCCTTATATCTAACACGAATGCATCTTGCGAAATCGGCTGGAGAAAGCCGATTTGCTGAAGTCCTGCAATGGCTAACACTGTGTCTAATCACCCTATAAATTATAGTCATAGTTGTAGTTTATCCATCAGGCTGAGAAAGACCAGTTTCCCAAGTGGCCTTGGTTCCTTTTCTGATTCCCAGGAGACCCACAACCCCTCCGCATGCTTTGCCTGCACGCAGGGAGCGTTGCCTGCTAATCAGGTCAATGAATACCGCCTGGCTCCAGGGACCTGACAGGCGTCCATCACAGCAGTTAGGGAGCCTGCAAACAGTGCAAGCTCACGGAGAAACTCCCGCTAGAAAACATCGCTCAGTCCTCATTTACTCACTGGGAATCTCCAAGGATTTCAGCTGATCTTTTTTTCTCCCTTCAGACAGCGAGGAGCTTGGCATAAACAGAGGCAAAGGAGTACAGCGCGCTGCCACTCCGTGGGTGTTGATTGAAAACTTCGATCTCCCCACCGTTTCACGGTTGATCTGAAGGATTTCTCACTTGATCACGGAGAGTATTTCAATTAAGGTAAGTGCTGCTGCGCCTGACTGGCTGCATCGCGCGGTATCTCTGCACGGAAAGTTCTTACTGTCTGCGCTGACATTCTGCACTGCAGTAAGTGGCTGTCTATGGCAGGGCAAGGCTTAGTTTTACAAGCAAGTGTCCTGGACGCGAGCCTGCGTTTGGGGATAATGGCATTTCAGAGGCGTTCTTATCAAATCGGATAGTTCTGCTTTTCATCAAAAGAAAATAAAAGGTTATGTGAAGAGGTGGATGACTTCTTTTCCTTCTTGAATAATCTGATAAGAGCCCTGCAGGGTGCCAAGGTAACTTGATTTTGCTTGAGGTTGTTCCTTGATGTCAGAGATAAAACTGGGCTCTGAAACCTTCTTGAGGGCAAAGAAATTTGCAAATACTTTCTGAGATCCTGTCCAGGTCTGTACTTCAGCAATGTCTCTGCACTTCCGATAGGTGAAAGGACGAAGGGCTGGATCTCTGAGAGTTTAAAAGTATGCATTTAAGAACTGAAATTTAAATGTGAACAGTGTCTGATAATTTTTTTCAGAGAAATTAAGCTACAGGATTGATTATTCTAATGGCACAGTGTATAATCCTTACACAAGATAGATGGAATTCTCTTATTAGATAAGTTTTGCAAAGAAAATACTGCTTTCTAAAATGTTTATTTTTAAGGAAGGTAATTTAAGGATATATGCTGAAATCTCAACTTCTAGGTATATTATTTCTGAAGTTATTTCTGTTATCCACCTATAGCAAATTGAGGTTAGGTTAACAGGTCACACATAGTTTAGGGCAATTATACACCTACTTTCAGTAAAATAGTTCATCTTATTTCTTCTGTATCCATTCCTCTTTGCAATTTGTTCAAGGTACCTAGAAAGATCATGGTAAAACTTTTTCCAATGTTAACTTGAATTATGTAAACTTTTCCCATTCTTCTTTAGTTAGTATATGTAAATATAGCCTGATGTACTGTTACCACACTATGGGCAATATGATCAAGATAAACAAGATATTTTGTTCATTAAATTTACAGAGGCTCTACTGATTATCACTCTTAACATGGGAGAATAGTGACTGTGTACCTTGCTATTGTGTGGGTCAATTACCATAAAATCATTTTTAAATAATTAAATACACTATTTAAAATACAATTGCATGCTGTTACATTACTTTTTTGTACTGAATTTCAATAACTAATCTGAAATATTAAAGTGCAAGCAAAATATCTAACTGCTTTGTGTGTTTTATTTGTCATGGTATCCCAAAAGTGTTTTTAAAGTGAAAAGCCATATTTCCCAAATGTTGACTCCACTTTCATTCCATAGGTATCTTGAGATGGGAAGTCCTATAAAGATGTCAGAACACTGGTTGTATTAATTCCCTGTGCTTCTGCAATTCCCCATGGGAGCTATTCAGGCCAATGCTGTTGCTATTGCTTCCTACACAGGAATAAAATATTTGCAGAAGGACTGTAGGCTTGTGTGCTTGATAGTTGTCTGTGTTTTCAACCTATGCCTGAAGATAATTTGCTATTTCTATTGCACTGAGATGTCTATCTCTTTGTTGTGATAGGGTGGCTTCTCCAAGATTTAAAGATAACTGTGGAAAATTGTCTTCATTGTAATCACTACCCAGGGTAGCTTTATTCACCTCTATTCTTTTAATCAAACTAGGTAAAGAGGAAAATAACCAAAACATGTTTGATATTAAATCATTTTCTTACTGCTAGCATCAGTTCAGTATTATAGACTATCCCATGTGCTAGTTCAAGCTGATGGTAACTTCAAACCTAATGAGCTTTTATGGGGCATTCTGGTCAATGAAGTGTATGGCCATCAAAGAACAGATATAGTCTGTTCTAATGTATTTACATAAACATGAAAACAAAGGACTTTTATTGTTGCTGTTATTTTTTTTTTTAATTTTCATCTTATGAACAAGTGAGGGAATGGAGAAAGTCTTGTGAGCAAGTGGATATTAGTAGTTCAAGTCTTCAAGATGACTCAGCAGGTAAAAGTGTTTGCCACCAAGGCTGGGAATCTGAGTTTAATTCCCAAATGGTGTACTGAGAGGAAGGATCCCTGCAAATTGCCTTCTCACCTCCACATGTGCACTGTAGCACACGTATGTGCATTGATGCATGGATGTACATGTGCACACGCGCACACACACACACACACATACACACACTAAATAAATAAGTAAATAAATTAAAACAATTTAAAGGGAATTTAGCTATTATTTTAGGTAGAATGTATGAATTACTTTTCTCCAACTTACTATATTATTGCCACCTGCCATACATCTAGGAGCTATGTGGATTCTCAATTTCCTTTTGCTTGATTAGAATGTATTCCTTCTGCAACATCAGAAAGAATTTCATGGCCCACATTGACACAGAATAAAGCAGTTCTTAAAAGCAAAGAACTGTTACAACTTCATGAAATTTAGAACGGGACTAAAACTCAATGGCAGAGCGTTTGCTTCATGTATGTGAGTCCCTAATATCAAACCTCAACACACTCTCTCTCTTCCACACCCTCTCACACACACAAACACATACACACACATAATGATTTAAATCCAGAGTCACTGTTAGAGAACTGAGATTAAAAAGAAGCTAAGAATAACCTATATTCATCCAAAGACAAGTATAATATTAGGCAATACAGAGATAATCTTATTTGGAAATGAATGTGAGAAGTGAACTCAAATAAAAGGAAACAGCATTTAATAGATTTAACAAATTTTATTTAAATTTAACAAAGTTTATTTTCTATTTATCAACTTGGTAAACATTCTTATATTAATAAACAATGTCTATGTCTATATTTTATCAATACCCATATTTCTATACAAAAAAGGTGCAATATTATTTGATGAAAATGGAGAGATGCCATAAAATTAATATTAAGCTGGAAATCTTAATATGATTCACTGCCAAACCCAAGGTTGTCCTAAAATTGCAAGTGTAAGTTAGCTCATATGACTGTGACGTGTAATAATATCTTTTGTTCCAATTATCTGTTAAAATCTAAAAACTAACATGTAGAATCTAGAAACATGACTTAGTACATAAGAGCTCTTACTACTCTTGCAAAAAACAAACCAGCAAATAAACCAAATTTGCTCCCCAGTATCGATGACAAATGGCTCACAAAATTTCTGTAATTCAAGTTCCAGTGGATTCATTGCCTGCCTTTGTCCTCCATAGGCACCTACGTGAATATGGCATACGTACATATACTCAGGCCATACACAATACAGATGAAAAAATATTTTAAATACAGATTGTACTACCTATTGCACAAGGTCCAACAATGATGAGAAAGATAATCAAGAATGTGTGTATATATTGCACACACACACACACACACACACACACACACACACATACACACACACACTTGCCCATATGCAACAGTAATCTATATCAATAAGCAGAATTTTAATCATCTTAGTTTTATTGATTCATACATTTTTAACTAATTCTACATTTATATAAGCTGACAGAGAATTAGTATTACCGCCATTAATTTATTCCTAATGTATGCATATGGTAAGTAATGACTTGTCTTGCAAAAAATAAAAATAGCAGAAAATAGTTTACAGGTGGAAATCATAGTTACTTAGATCAAAATTAGGTGGTCTTTACATTTTAGACCTGAAGTAAATGTGACTTGTCTCTCAGTCATTGCAAGAGTATCTACTGATACTGGGTATCTGTACTGTTGACTTTAAATAGAAATTGCTTTGTGGTTGTTATGCTATAAGGAGCCTGAGATAAATTTGAGAGCCACAAAGATGGCAATCTGGAGAAATCACATATAAGCTGCACATTTAAGATCGTTAAGATAAGTCTTATGTGTTATAATAGATAGGCTATAAAATACTGATGCATTTTCCAACTTGCCTCATTTTTATCTCATTAGTGGTGTAAGTTCAGTTAACCAATTCAAATTGGGAAAACATCTTTGCTGTACAAATTAAACATTATAGTGGACTTAATAACTTATATAATATCATCTTTCTAGTCAGTAGGTAGAGTACATCTATGGGTACATGTTCTGCATGTAACCTTGCTCAAAGCCTGACCCCACCGAGAACATGCACTTGTTCTGTATCCTTGGACAAATAGTTAAGGTAGCTGAGCTTTGTTCTTGTGTTCTTTGAAATGGTAATAATTATAGTATCTCTCCTATAGATCTATTGTGACACAGAAAGAAGACAATTGGTCTAACTCATAATCTGTCACGTGTTCTGAAAATGATAGTAATGTGAAAAGGAAGAAGCATTTCTCTTCATCCTTCACTTAACTTATCTAGGATAGATAATTGCCATGTCCTTCTGGCAGTGATAAACAACATGGACATAATCCCCGGAGTCTGGGTCTTTACACTGTACTTACAGCAGAACCTTTGCATTAAGAAAATACAATTTCTTCCATTGGATTTTCACTGGTGAGTGAATGTGTCATGAAAGAATGTAATCCAAGAGTCAATTTAGAGAAAGCTTCCTACTTTGGACAGAGGACTAAAGTTGCAATTGAATCCTTTATTTTGATTCTTTCTAAAGAACACTGAAGGAAGTTACAGCTTTAAAACATGGAGTCAGAGTTAGACAGATCTCTGTGAGTTTGAGGCCAGCCTGGCCTACAGAGTGAATTCTTAGCCAGCCAGGTCCACATAGAGAGACCCTGTCTCAAAAAAAAAAAAAAATTAACAGAAACCAACAAACAGCTATCAGTGAGGATAGGATGGACTACCGAGTAACTGATAGAAACTGAGAGAAAAGAATTGGATTTCTGACTTGAAAACCAAGAACAAGCCAGGCATGGTAAGGTGTGAGCCATCAGACTCAGGCTGGTTCTCTAGTCTCCTTCAAGTAGACCCTGTGTTAGTGCCATAGCATCTTTGAAAAAGCCTTAATGCCCTGTGGGTCAGTTCTTCCTGCTCTTCTTGTTCTTTTAAATTGCTCTATCATTTCTTAATTCCTATTTCTCT